GCCTCTGCTCATGAACCAGGAGGTGAATTCTGTCTTCAAATGCCTCTGTAAATGGGACTTTCTTCAGTAACTCCCCACTGAGTTACTCTCCTTCCCGGCCTCATCCCCCCTGACTTCAAGAGCCTATGTTCTACAGCAAGGTAAGCCCACACAGGCTTAGCGGTTTCTCCTGCTCTACAGCAAGGTAGGCCTGCACAGGCTTAGCGGTTTCTCCTCTCCCTGCTTCTTTGAGATAGTCTCATGTAGTCAAGGCTGGATTCGAACTCCTGATCTTCCTATCACCACATCTAACATTCAGTCTGTTTTCTGTGGAAACCAGACAAAGGCATGCTGGGCACTTCACACTCTCTCCCACTGATGAGTATTTGAACTAGTTCATATTCTCTTGGGATGGTGGACAGTGGTGCTAGGGTGCACCCTTGTTTGCCAGGGTTTCTCCAGAATGTACGGAGCAGAGCAGTAAGCCTGCTAGGCCCTAGGCTACATGCACCTCCAGCTTCACTGGCCACCACTCAGTTCCTAAAATGCCGACTTTCACACCAACCCCATCCTCGGTTCCCTCTAGCTGGGTCTGATAGGCCTTCTCTCTGCTCTTGTGGCACAAGTGCATCTTCAGCATCTGTGGAGGGAGGGCACTTCCCCAACAAACTGCTTAGCTAAGCTGCTCTCTCCTCAGAGTCCAGCTCTCCACATCAATTCCTTCAAAGTTTTCCGCTACTCTGGGTCAGTCGCCCCTACATTATGTACCTGTACGAAGCATATAGCAGCACCCTGATAGAGTGATTGCCAAACATTTGAGAGGGGCTAGTCTCAGTCCTCAATACTCATGTGTACATACACCCCTTTGCAGTATTTAGTTTGCAATGCTCCATTGATCTATGCAACTATTAGGACAAACTGTCTTCCTGACTAAACTGTAAATTCCTGAAAGCAGTAGATACACAGTAGGTAATTGATAATTGTGAGTCATTCTTTATTCTAACTTTTTTCTAACGTTGTAACTTTTTTAGCACACGCCACTACTACCTACCACAGGATCTTACTATGAAAATACAGGTTGGCTTGGAACTTGAATAGATCAACTGGTCCTCAAAGTCAGGAGATCCACCTGCCTCTGCCTCCAGAGTGCTAGGATTAAAGATGTGAGCCACCATGCCTGACATTAACATGTTTTTAATTTTTTAAAAATATTTATTTATGGGACTGGAGAGATGGCTCAGAGGTTAAGAGCATTGCCTGCTCTTCCAAAGGTCCTGAGTTCAATTCCCAGCAACCACATGGTGGCTCCCAACCATCTGTAAGGAGATCTGGTGCCCTCTTCTGGCCTGCAGGCATACACACAGAAAGAATATTGTATACATAATAAATAAATAAATAAATAAATATTTAAAGAAATATTTATTTATTTACTTATTATGTATACAATATCCTGTCTGCAGACCTCTGGAATGTGATGTGTTTTAGGTGCTAAGCAACTCAGTTGGAATTTCACTATAATGAATAATGCTGACCAGTGTTTGTGGAGCGCTTGATGTGTGCTGGACACTCTGCAGAGCATCAGCCATGGCTGTGGTTGGCCTGACAGTGTCTCTTGATATCTCCCGAGTCCCAGTGTGCACAGCTGATAGCCCGTACATATAGGACTTCTCAGCCAGTGTTTTCAACTTGGAATTCTCAGTTAGTTTTCAGTTGGATTCCAAAGATTGAGTTTTTTTTTTTTTTTTTTTTTTTTTTTTTTTTTTTTTTGGACACAAGGTTTTGCTAGGCAGCCCAAGCTAGTCATACACTCTTTTTAAAAAATTCATTCATTTATTTATTTTTTGGCTTTTCAAGACAGTTTCTCTGTAGCTTTGGAGCCTGTCCTGAAACTAGCTCTTGTAGACCAGGCTGGCCTTGAACTCACAGAGATCCACCTGTCTACCTGACTGCCTTCTGAGTGCTGGGATTAAAGGTGTGAGCCACCACCACCCAGCTACTTTTTTATTTTTCAATTTTTTTGTCTATTTTTATGTGAGCAGGTGTTTAGCCCGCATGAACTGCATGTCTGAGCACCAGTGTGTGCCTGGTGTCTACAGAGACCAGAAGAGAACATCAGTTCCCTGGGTGACAGTTGTTAACTGTGCGTCATGGGTGTTGGGAACTGAACCCTGCTCTTCTGGAAGAGGAGGCAATGCTCTTAACGCTAAGCCATCCCTCCAGTTTGGAACTTAATGTAGCGCAGGCAGGACCATAACTTGTGGCAGTCTATCTGACTCAGCCTCCCTGGTGCTGGGATTACAGATGTGCACCATCACAGCTGCCTAACATTTAAATATTGATGGCTTATCAACTATTTTTTTTTCTTTTCCTTTTTTTCTCCCCCGAGACAGAGGTTTCTCTATGTAGCTCTGGCTGTTCTGGAACTCAGTCTGCAGACCAGGCTGACCTTGAACTCACAGAGATTCACCAGCCTCTGTTTCCCTAGTGCTGGGATTAGGGTGTACAGTACCACCGACTGGCTCCACTGGCCCCTTTCTTTCTCTTCTTCTTTTCTTCTTCTTTCATTTTCTTCTCCTACCCCTTTCTTCTTCTTCTTCTTCTTCTTCTTCTTCTTCTTCTTCTTCTTCTTCTTCTTCTTCTTCCTCCTCCTCCTCCTCCTCCTCCTCCTCCTCCTCCTCCTCCTCCTCCTCTTCTTCTTCTTCTTCTTCTTCTTCTTCTTCTTCTTCTTCTTCTTTTTTGTTGAGAGAGGGCCTCACTGCTGGCCAGGAAGGAACTCATTTTGTGGATCAGATTAGCTTTGCATTTAAAGTGATCCACCTGCTTCTGCCTCCTGAGTGCTGGGATTAAATGCATGCTTCACCATGTCCTGCTAACTTCATTTTTCCAACAAAATATTACCAATGATCTACAATGTGCCAGATTCTGTTTGAGGTGAGGAGAATAATTTCTCCTCTGTTTCACTGGTATCCTAGTAGGAAAAGAAAAATTAAAGAAGCCATGATGGTGATGACTACTTCAGAGAAAAGAAGGTGGCAACCAGGGAGCATGACTAGGATTCCTATGGTCTGATTTCGCACCCAACAGTGTTGGTTTCCCACTGTGGAAGAGGTGATGTCACTTCCTCAGGCATGCCACAGTTCATATACTAAGGAGTGCGGACCTTAAAGGTCTGAGAACCCACCTTGCAAATTATTCTTCCCCTGGGCTCCTACTCTTGGCACTGTGACACAGACAAAGCAAGTGTCACACTTTCTCCCAAAAGCTTAAGACCTGACAGGCAGGTAAGCTTGCCTCACGGCGTCTTGGAGTCACCGAGTTCCACTGAGTCATCGATGCAGAGGGCAGGCATGAACTGTGATCATGGACAGCTTACAGATGGGGAGGCTGGCCTTCAGATCCATACTGATGAGTCAACTCCAGAGACCAGAAACAGAACATAAAGCTCCCCTAGAATGTTCTGCTACCATTGGCTAATTTAAAGCTAACAGCTGGCTCTGTGCCCTCCCCCTTGAGTTCGATCATGAGCTGGTAGGCCAGGCAGGGAGGGGCCAGTTACCTAGTGACTGGCTCAGGCCTGCAAACAGTACCCACCCTTCTCTCCCCATCACCCTAGACTGGGGTTCAGGAGGAGGATGCGGGGTGCATGTCTGAAGGCTTCAGATGTACACAGTGATGTTGGCGCTCTGCCCTCGATGGCCTGTGACTACTCAGCTTCTGCCCGGTGGATCTCATCAACTATGGTGGTAGTCTGGAATATCGAGGAACAGACGGGGAGACACAGAGCACCCCTGGCACCATCTTCCTCCACTCCACACTGTAGCATGTTTTCTGTGTATCAGGAAGGCCCCTAAGAACTTCCATAATTTATCTCCCACCCCCCCACAAAAAGGTGGTACCCTTTAAAGTTTAGCTAATTGAGCTGAAAATAGGCATATTTCAGGGGGTTTGAGAAATTTACTTTTCCATGTTACTTTATTTGTATTTTCGAGACAAGGTTTCTCAGTGTAGTCCTAGCTGTCTTGGAATTCACTCTGCACAGCAGGCTGGTTTAAACTAAGAGATTCACTCCTGACAGCCCCAGTGCTGGGATTGAAGGCAACATCACCACACCCAGCTCCTTGTAAATCTTATTTTTATTTTGGTTTTTCAAGATAGTTTCTCTGTAGTTTTTCTGGAGCTGTCCTGGAACTAGCTCTTATAGACCAGACTGGCCTCAAACTCACAGAGATCTGCCTGCCTCTGCCTCCTGAGTGCTGGGATTAAAGGTGTGCGCCACTACCACCCAGCTGAATTTTTAAAAAAGATTTGTAAATAGCCAGGCATAGTGGCACACACCTTTAATCCCAACACTTAGGAAGCAGAGACTGGAGGATCTCTGAGTTTGAGGCCAGCCCGGTCTATACAGTGAGTTCCAGGACAGCCAGGGCAATCGGGATTCTGTCTCAAAGAGATTTATTTGTACATACTTAAAAATTATTTTTATACTTAAAAAGGTTTATTTATTTTGTGTGGCGTTTTGCCTGCATATTTGCCTGCACAGGAGAGAAAGACAATATATCTCATTATAGATAGCTGTGAGCTGCCATGTGGTTGCTGGAATTGAACTCAGGACCTCTAGTAAGAACAGTCAATGCTCTTAATTCTGAGCCATCTTCCCAACTCTTTTTTTTTTATACTTATTTAATGTGTATGTGTGTTTTTTCTTACTTGTATGTATACCTCATATGTGCTTAAAGATGTTTGTGAGTCACCATGTTGGTGCTGGGAACTGAACCCAGGTTCTTTGACAAGAACAGCTACTGCTTTTTTTTTTTTTTTAAAGAAAGGTTTACCTTTATAGACCAGGTTGGCCTTGAACTCAGAGATCCACCTCCCTTTCCTTCCTGAAAGCTGGGAATAAAGGTGTGTGCCACCCCCGCCCCGCAGCTCAACAAGTTCTCTTAACCACTGAGCCATCTTTCTAGCCCAGGTGCTTTAAACAGTGTAGTCTGTGAACCAGATCCAAGAGGCTGAAATCAAGATCTGTTTCTGCAAGGAATTTTTACTCATAACAAGAGGCAGATATTGGACAGTTCAGAGTTTCTCTTGGAGTCGGGGAGAAGAGCCAACTGTCCTTTTTAGAGCATTCCATCCTCCCTAGGGGGAAAGTCTGTTCTCTGCCAGAAATAGGTGGCATGGGAAGGAAGGGAGGGGAACGGAGGGTTTCCTGTAAAGGCTGCTGTGCGCGCGTATCAACTTCAGGTTTTTTGAGTTGATCTGTGAATTAATGTTGCTTTGGGAAGGGTTAAAGTCACTGACACCACCGACAAAAGCTATTTTTCCAGGGAGAGGAAGCTAAGCACTGTGGGAAGGAGGATAGTGAGGGCGCTGGGGAGAATGGGAGGGTTGTGGGCTCCATTTGAGCTAGAGCTTTAAAGTAAACAGACTGAGGTGACACACAGGGATGGGGAACGCAGCCAGGTGCTGGCCCATCATGTGCAAAACCATTTCAATCCATGTTGAACCTGTGGTTTGTGCCGTAGGTTCAATCCTCAGCACTAGAAAGCTCAGCACCTGGGGGAGGATCTCCCTGATCTCAAGGCAGTCTGGCGACAGCAGAGGCAACAAGAAATATGCAATTCTCTCCGCTGCCACAGGTTCAGCATTTGTGGATTGGGTGGTTATTGTGTGTGTGTTAGGTACAGATGCTTGGACGCACACACGCACTGAGCCCAGAGGAGGGCATACGGTGTCCTTATTCTTCACCCCATCCTTTGAGTCAGGGTCTTTCTCTCTCTGAAGTTGAAGCTCCTGTTTTCCTGATAGGTTTGCAGTCAGTGAGCTGCAACAGTTCTATCTCTACCCCTGCACAGTAGTGGTGTGTGTGAGATCAGGCTCAGCTTATGTAGGTGTTAGGATCCAAAATTCATCATTGCTCGGCAAGCACTCTTAACCACTAAGCCGCTTTTCCTGCCCCTATTTATTAGTTTGTATGTTTGTTTGTTTGTTTGTCCCAGGGGTTGAACACAGGAACTCATCCATGCTAAGCACTTTATCTCCAACCTCAGAAAACAAAGAATTCCTTCTGGAGTTAGGCGCTAGCTTATGCTGCAGTCCTGCCATTGATGAGGCCGAGGGCAAGGGCTTCTTTCTGAGTTTAAGGATAGTTTGGTCAACATAGCGAACTATACAGGGAAGCTCTGTCTCAAAACAACAATAAAGAACAAACTAGGGGTGCAAGATGACTCGACGAATAAAGATGCCTCCACCAGCCCGGTGAGCCGATCCGAGAGAACCGGCTCCTTCCTTCAGAGTCCTCTGATTTCCATGTGTGCCATGCTGCATCTGCACACAAAACAAAAGCAAGTAAAGATGTAAAATAAGAAGCATAACAATAACACAAGGAGTCCCATCTGGCTGGGCCTTAGGTCTGTAATTCCAGCCGAGAATGAGGCTCATAAGCTGAAGGCTAGCCTGGACAATTTAGGGAGACTGAGTTTCAAAAGAAAATGAGAAAAAGGGTTGGGGAACTAGCTCAGTGGTAGAGTTTGTCTAGCAATGGGAGAAAAAAAAATCCATACTTAATAGGTTTTCAAAAATTTTTTTTCTCCTCTACCGTATCTTTTCTGCCGGGTCATCATTCCCTAAACACAACTATATTGTAACAACTGTTTACACAGCAATTAAGTATTAGGCGTTCAAAATAACCTTGAAATGATTCAAATAATACCTGGAAGATGGAGTTCTAATGCAACACCACCATTCTAGGACTTAAATATCCTTGCATTTTGCTATCTGCTAGAGAAACCTCAGGACAACATAATGTGCTTAGCACTAGAAGGTGGCAGGAAATAAGATACCCAAGCAGATTCTAGTAGCCAGATGTTAGAGAGCCAGAGGCTAGTAGGATAAAACGCAGAGGGGAGGAATCAGCAGGTGCAAAGGCCTGCAGGGGACAAGAATATTCAGTCAAAGGACTCAAAATATATAGAGCAGCGAGGTCAGGCTAAGAGGGACTATGGCTGGGGAAACCGCTACTCCATCCTTCACAGGTGACTCTCCCTCTGGACCTTAAACTTGGAAGAAATCAAAATGGTAGGCTTGTGGTGCCCAGAACGTCAGTTTCATTTAAATAGCATCATTGGATGAGCCCCTTTCTAACACTGGCTCATACAGTACCCATGAGACGAGTGTTTCTACAACTTCCATTGTCCAGGTGAGCAAACAGACTGGCCCGCGTCTTGTATCTTGAGAATTACAGTGTTCCTTTATGTAAATGCTTTCGTTCTAGCGGAGCCTTTGAACTGAAATAATACACAGAAAAGCTTTGTTTTCTTGCTTTCTCTCTTTCTTTTAATAGAGCCACCTAGACATGCGGCATTATGATTTGTTGGACTTGTGGCTCCCTCCAGGTCAGCCTGTACTGTTCAGGAAACCTAGGAATGGGCAATGGTTATTGCCTAAAGGCCAAGTGGCTTCACAAAATTCCCCATGTCTATTCTGGTTCTCCCTCTGGGGCAGCTCTTAGATACCATCTTCTGCCAAACAGAGTTTGTTTCTCAGAAGCTGTAAGAAGTGGGAGGTTAGGGAAAAAAAAAAAACCCTGCATCAACCACTGCAAAATCCCCCAGCAGCCTGAGCACAAAGGGTTTGAGTTCTGAACAAAGGGCTGGGTGAGACTGGAAAGTAAATGCTGACACATCCTCTCTCCAGCTGTGAACTGGGGGTCTGAGGGCCGCTGCAAAGGTCATCTGTCTCCACATCTCTGGGCAGGAAATGCAATTCAATCCTTCCAGTGACTGATCACTTTACAAGATTAATGGAAATGTCTCCATGGCTCTGTGTTCTGACAGCACAAAAAGTGAATCAAACTTCTCCCCTGGCCGCCTACTCAGCGAGGTCAGCTGATTCCTTGTCTTTAAAAGTTCAAAACTTTCCTCCAGGACGGCTTCCCTGGCGCTCCTTTGGTAGGAGAGTCCTGCCTCCAGGGGTTGGACCAAAGTCAGCACCTGGAGGTGGGCGGACATTCGGAGGCTCTTCTGTTTTTGCTTCATCTTTCAAAATAAAAGACATGCAAAGGGTTAACTGCCAGCCTTCTTGTCCATCCCTCAAGGACTGTCAACCAGTGACAACCGAGCATGATGAAGTAATGCATGCCTTTTTATTTCCATTGGCTATCATGCACGTCCATCAATCCCAAGATACAACTTTTGAAAGAATCTTTGAACTTTTATGGCTCTCTTCACAGCATTAACCCTTTAACTCACCTGTGGCCTCGAGGGTTCTTCCCATCCTTACACAGAAAGGGAAACAGGAAGAAAAGCAGGATTCTATGGAGAACATTAAACTTTCCCCCAAGGGTCAGGCCTGAGAGTCTCTGGACAGTTTTGTTTTTCCTTTTTGACTTCAATCCACAAGGGACTGAGGACTAAAAAACAAAGCAAACAACCACTTTAACAGAAACAGCTCAGTCTGCTGTTATAGTAAAGCAAAACAGATTTTAAATTCTAAAAGTGATACAAAGTAGAACTAAACTTTTCTTACGATTTGCACATACAAGGTTTTACTGTGTTTAATTTCTATTCCTGCTCCCTTCTATGTCCTGGCATGCTGTGGACTGAACCCAGAGCCTCTACATGCCAGCAAGCGCTCTTTCTATTCCTGAGCTACACCACTAATGTGGCGTTCATTTCTGAGGTTGTGCACCTTCATGGTACAGAGATGGAAAGGCACTACAGCGTCTAGAACCAAATTCAATCCTCCAGATCTGAATCAGGCACTATTCATACGTACCTGTGGTTAAAATTTCACAGTGTACCAAAGAATAACTTCTTTACTCATTTTTCTTTGCCCATTTCTTTGCCATTTTCTTTCCAAAGAAAATTAAATGCATATAAATGGTTACATATAGCCAGGCCGTGGTGGCACACACCTTTAATCTAAGCTCTTGGGAAGAGAGGCAGGGGGAATCTCTGAGTTGGAGGTCAGCTTGGTTTGCACAGTGGGTTCCAGGACATCCAGGGCTACACACAGAGAAACCCTGTCTTGTTAAACAAAGAATAAGTATTGATCTTCATTGAATTATCCAAATAGTGATCAAAATTTAGTATTCTATATCTTATTTTTACTTAAGGATATCATCAAGTCATTCCATGTAAACATATATTTTCTTCTATTCAATGCTGAAGATCAAACTAAGAGCCTTGGTTTAATTTGTGTGTGTGTGTGTGTGTGTGTGTGTGTGTGTGTGTGTGTTTTTGACAGGTCCTTGAGTTTATCCATAGGATGCATACCATCCTTTGGACGTTTATTTTTAAGATGTGGGCAGGTGAGCCAGCCCCATCCAACTGGTACCCGGCCAGGCTCACAGGCATAGGAGCAAATGCTTTGAAGTCTAAGGCTGCAGAATTCACATTGTACCATATGTGCTCTTCCATATAACTGTTGCTGGGATCTTTGCCTCCATGAACTCTTCATTCATTCAATTACTGTTTTGGGATAGTTGAATACAGAGATGCTAAGTCAAATGGGACCTTGACTCCTGCATAAACAGCCTGGTAGGTACTTGAAGAGCAATAGCAGCAAATACCCTAAGGCTTCATTGTTTTAAGTTTTCTGTTTGCTTGCAGCTCTGGGATTGGATCCAGGGCCTTGCACATGATGCTAGTCAAGAGCTGTATCACTGAACTATAACTCTAGCCCATTAATTTTTTTTTTTATTTTGAGACAGGTTTTCATTATACTGCTCAGGCATGCACTACCATGCCTGGCTTAAATATGAATATTTTTGCTACAAGTGTATTTTTATAGTAGAGTGAGTTCTTGGTTATCATTACAAGTAGCTAGGTTCTACCCCACGAGCACATGCATGTGTGTACACACTTCAGGGGCAACTGTAATTGACAGCATAGGTATATAATATTCCTATCTTTTTAAAGTCATAATCCCACAGACAGGCTTACACAGTGGCCAGTCTTGTGTGCTCTGTATTCCTACAAGCTCTTGGTTCAAATCCTATAGTGATAGTATCACTGTGGTCAAACAACTTAGCATTTCTTTGAGCCTTAGCTATAAATGGGGAGAAATTGGCTAAGATTTAAAGAGATGGCAGATAGGATGGCTTTACCCACAGACACTGTAAATTCTTAAAAGCCTGGAGCTAGAAGCTGGGAGAGTCCAGAGGCAGGAGGCTCCTGCAAAATTTGAGATCTGCCTGGTTTACATAGCAAGTTCCAGGCTATCTAGGGCTCGGTAGAGACCCTGTCTTACAAGGAGGACAGCCAATGATCTGAGAACGGTTTGTTTCTCTTCAGTCCAGATGAGTGCTCCATCCAGAACTGCGGTCATCTTGTTAAGCAGTTCGTCTGCCTCCCAGCCACCCGACAGTGTGTGTGTGGTGTGTGTGTGTGTAAGTGAGGCTGCTACGTCTGTGTTTTCTCTCTCTGTGTGTATATAAATGTGTGTAACTGAAGCCGTGGCTTCTATATTTTCTGTCTTTGAACTGAACACAGATCTGCTTAATTCGCCTGTGAGGATGGATGAAACAACTGAAGGAACAGAACACAGGTAGGATGTGACCGGGCCTTTTAGGAGACCAAGCAGGAAGATACAGGAAGTCATTATTACTTTGTTTCCAGTGGGGCTGACTTGGTGTTTTCGGAATTAAAAGTTCATCTTTTGAACTCTTACTCTCACCTAGTCTAAGCTCCTGGGGGACAATCAGCCAAAGTTACAGCTCAAGGGTCTGGCCCTTCCCCCTCTGGTCCAAAATAACCTCCTCTGCCACTTGGAGCGAATGCTTGGAATTCTTTCAACTGAGGACAGAGCCTTTCATCTGCCAATTACTGATAAAGAGAAAATGCAAATATGCTGGAGAAGGTGATCCATCAAGGGTCCAACGTTTATTGAGTGACCACTTAGACCTTAGCAGAGGGGTAGGCATTCTGGGGGAGTCAAAGGGGAACAAACTGCCGGCTGGCCCATTCTTTTAGCTTTGTGGTTTCCTGGAGGTCTATAAAGGGAGGGGATTATATCAGGTGACTAGTCAACAACCCCTTCCCACTCTCGACAAGCCAGGAGGTGATATATGGACTTAACTGCTTTTATATGAAGGTGACTAACATTAAACTTTTTCCTAATGCCAGCATTTTGGGCGATTCTAGGAAGCCAAAGCGGGAGAGAGCCTGAGGGAAGAAGATGAAGGAGGAGGACCAAGCGTCCTATTTGACAGTCTTGCTTTAAGTCTGCACTGATTCTCAATTCAAGCCCTCCTTTAAGCCAGGTTTATTTCATTTTGAAGCATAAATGAAGTTGGTGAACATTTTAAAAGGGCCAGCTGTTTGCCGGGCGGTGGTGGTACACGCCTTTAATCCCAGCACTTGGGAGGCAGAGGCAGGGGGATCTCTGTGAGTTTGAGGCCAGCCTGGTCTACAAAGAGCAGGTTCCAGGACAGGCTCCAAAGTCAAAGAAAAACCCTCTCTTGAAACCCCCAACCTCCCTCAAAAAGGGCAAGCTGTGTGATTGTGGGTGAAAAAAAAAATGGTTTTGCCTTTCTGATTTGAGAGTGTCTTCGTTTACAAAACAGACCTACTAAGCACAAGACATCATTTCCTTTAAAGGATTCTTTGTCACAAGAGGAGGCAAATAAAATGATCCATGTTATTTGTTTATTTATTCATGCATTTATTTATTTACTTTTGATGTTGAAGCCAGGGCCTTATAGTAGATAGGCCAAAGGGAACTCCATCCCAGCTGGTCCCAGGTTTTCAACAGAGGGATGGTTAGAAAGACTGCCTACTGGGTGCAGCTGAAAGCTATGGAGACCTGGTTTCAGTTTGGTGACAAAGTTGGATGATTGTTGCCTCATCACAGTGTAAATGATTTCTACTGCTAATGTGTGGATGGAATTAAACTTCAAAGAGTAGCTTTGGGCACAGGCAGAAAAAGGGAAGGAAATTCTAACGTGAGTGAGGGAGAAGTATATTGTCTCTTAGGGTGAGTCAGGGCTCACAGCTCAGCTCAGGTGGCAAGGCCACTTCCTCCCCACATCTATCTGAGCTAGTGCTTGTTGACACTGGGACAAGATAAAAAGAACCTCCACCCAGATTCATAATTTCTTGCATCTAGGTTTCTCAATGTGCAAACTGATCTGCTTTAACTTGTGCACTGGGCAAGTAGCTGCAATCGGTACCTACTAGGATCATCCAAGGGGTCTCAGAGTATTCCTGGTGATATGTCATAGGCCTTGCAGGACAGAGAGGCTGGGTGGGAACTAAGTTTAGGGCCAGCTCTTCTCATAATTAAAATGAACCTGATTTATCCATTTTGGTATTACAGGATCACCCAGGTCCAATTCTGGGAGCAGTTACAAGCACTACTTAAGGGGACAGAGGAGCATTGGGGGGGGGTGTCTGATATTCTGTGCATATTCAGAGGGTGCCCCTACCTCCGCAAGAAACAATATGGATTAATCAAGGTGTGCTATCTCAGCAAGCCGCGAACATCCTCACCGCTTTACTATTAAATTGCCAAACAAAGAGCTTACCTTTCGCCTGCGTGTGAGTTGCATTACAGACGCTAACTCCGATTCTCTGGTTCCCTCCCGTACATCGGTTTATCTCTTCTCAGCGAGTGTAGAGACTTTTTTCTTTTCTTGCCCAACTTCTTATTTCAGGGCTCTTCAACTGAGGCTGTCCGAATGAATGAATGGAAGGCTGTCTTCCGGTCAGCTGCAATCTGAAAAGGCTGTGGACTGGCTGTATTTCCTGTACCTATGCGTGTATGTCCATATTATTATTTCAGTCCAAGGAGTTTTAAAGTTATGCAGTTTATACGGATACAGAGCTGCGCTAATTTCTTTCTGAGCCCCTTAGATACCTCTTCCATATGGCAGGTTCGCAAATGGATAGGAGTTTGGACAGGCTGGCCCCTCCCCCCTAGACATGCAGTAGAAAAGCAAAATCAGAAAAAGAAATTATACGTACAAAATACTTTGAATTTAGGTCGCCAGCACAGGTAATAAGGTGAGGTAGACTCAGGAAGAAAGGGGCAGTCGTGGGTAATCCGAGTAAGGGGGCAGGGGCAGAGGTGGGGGGTCGTTTTGGGGGGTGCCAGGCCCCGGGGGCTTTCACGCCAGCAGGCTCGGCTAGCATTTCCGTGCCTCCCGCTGAGGCCATCCGTGCAAAGCTGCACCTCCCTCTCCACCCCCTCCTCTCTTTCCCTCCCTCTCAGCCCCGCCATCTCTGGGATGCGCCCGCCGCCTGCAACTCAACCCTCCAAAAGTCAGCTCCCGGGCGGCGGCGGCGCCTGCGTGCAGAGGCGCACTCGTGACCCAACAACAAAACAGCGATGCCAAGGCGCTAACGGCGCCGGGTGCGTCCCAGGCTCCCTTCTGGCCCCACACCTCCTACGGCTGTGGTCCCCGACACCCCAAACCCAAGCCCCCCTTCTCCCCAACTAGCCCGGCCGCAAGCTCCGAGCGCGATCTGCAACAATGTTTACGTTCCGGGGATTATGACGTCGACGCCTCCCCCCCACAACTGCTGAAAATGGTTTCCTAGGACTTTGCAAACGGATCTGCTTAAGTGTTGGTGCAAAACTTTGTAGATATCGGCTCTGGCTTGCTCTATTTATTTATTTTTTGGTTTCTTTTCTTTAGTCTTCCCTCCTCCCCCCCCCTCCGCCAAAATGCAGGGGGCAGGAGTGTTGACAATTAATTGGTGAACTCTCCTAAAAAAATGGAGGCAGAGAAAGACTCTGGAAGAAGATTGGTGTGTAGCTTTTTTTTTTCTCCCCAAATCTGTATCTGGTATATGATCGATTTATTTATTTATTTTTTTGGTTGTTTCTTTCTGCCTTTTCTTTCCTTTTCTGTATTTTGCAAGAGGACCGGAAAAAATAATAAATTGCATGCAAAAGGAAGCAAGCAGCTTACTCCTCCAGTCTCTTGTGAGGCTCAGGGTCTCAGATACTTAAGTGGGGAGGAGGTAGCGCCGAAAGGCGTGGAGGGGGTTGAGCGGGCTTGGGGTTCGCCTGGGATCTGGGGGGTTGCGGGGCTCGGTGCTGGGCGGCGGAGGGAGGAGGAAGAGGGATGCGGGGAGTGGTGGGGGAGACTCCTTAGGAAGTGAGTGTGCGCGCGCGCTTGTGGGGAGATGAGGCAGCTGCTGGTGCGTTTTGGGGTCTCTGATGGAAGCTTTGTGGTGGGCCAGCTGCCTCTCTCTCCCCAAGCTCTTAACCTTCTCCCCTCTCCTCCTCTTCTTGCACTAGCGGTCGGTCGGCGGGGGCGGCTAGGGTCTCAACCCTTCCGTTTCAGCTTTCCAGCTTTTCTGTAGCTCCGGAGCGGCTCCAGCTTTAGAAATGCCGCCGACCCTGGGTTCCGGCTTCCCGGGTTGGCCGCTGTGGCCGCCAGGGCTGCTGTTACCGCTGAGCCGGGCGCTGCAGCGGCTTCTCTCGGGGCCTACATCTGCCCCGCCAGCTCATGCCCCGAAACCCCTTCAGGGGTTACATAACCAGGCTCCCTGTGGAGCGGGCAAAGCTCTGGACATCACTGGGGTAGGGGCAAAGGAAAGCCCCCAAATAGCATTTCCACGGCTTCAAAAGATGCAGGAAGGGAGTGCTTCGTGTATAGATATTTGGGCCTTGGGGGTGTGAGCCCCCTTTTCTGCTTTTCAGCATCTTTGGCATTTGCGCAAAGTTGTTCAGATTGCAATGCTGGGGTACAGTGGGCGCGCGGCTCTTGCACCTGTTTGTGGTGGGCCCAGGGTGAGAGGAGACCCCCAAGTCCTCTCAGTAATGTCCCGGGTTCTCTGGTTGGGTCCCGCAGCGTGCGATTGACCGCCAGAGATACGACGAAAACGAGGACTTGTCGGACGTGGAGGAAATCGTCAGCGTCCGTGGCTTCAGCCTGGAGGAGAAGCTACATAGCCAACTGTACCAGGGGGACTTCGTGCATGCCATGGAGGGCAAAGGTGAGGTGCCCCCTCTCCTGGCTGCAGTCTGTGCAGAGGGCCAGCGCGCACGTGGGGAGGGAGCTGCCTGTGGCTGGGTTCGTATTTCGCGCCCGCGTCCCCCATTCCAGGGGATCCGGTGACGAAACGGAGACCGAGCACTGGGGGTGGGGGGGTGTTAAGGGAGGAGGGCAAGCAGGAAGAGGGCTGGGCCTGGCGTGGGCCTAGGCCTTGATTGTACCCATCACTAACATCAAGGTGGTCATTGCCAAGGGGCTATCCGACTGAGAGGGACGGGGGGGGGGGGGGCACTGACACTGGGACTGAGGGAGGATGTGAGCGCAGCATCCTTTTTCTCCCAAGCCGGTTGCGCTCTCCGCGCTGCCAGAGGTGCAGCTCCTGGCAGGAGCCTTCTGAACGTCCTTGGGACATTGGGGTGAGGGCGTATGTTTGAAACCTCCCATACAAACCCCTGTCATCCTGGACCCTGAGGGTTATGAACTGGAATGGGCTTAGGGATTGGAGATAGCAGCATCTTCGGTTAGGGTTACGCCCATTAGAGGCTTGACTCTGAGCCTTTGGTCCGTAATGCCTTTCCCCCTTCGAGGGCCCTGTCCTGCGGCATGGGAGAAGGGACTAAGTGGGCTGTTGGGAGTTGTTGGCACTACACCCTCCTCCCAAGCCTGAGGCTTCTAGCGCCCCAACCGTGACAGCGCTGAGTAGTGGGGTCTAGGTTATATATGTGATGAATTACCCGATCAGGCCTAAAGGTAAAATCCCTGTGCCTTGGCAGTTTGAATGAAAACTTAGGTACCTCCCTGGAAACAAGGTCTTTTTCCATGCCTGAGATGAGAGCTCTGTGCTCTGACCTTCCCAGTGTGGAGCAGAAGCTGGCTCCAGTTTTGGAGGGACTCCTGGCTTTGGGCTTCTCCCTCTCCTACTGACGGTGTGGCTGAGGATGTTTCTTAGATGTGCTGGGTGATGCTCCTGTTTGAGGCTTGGTTTTAGGAGCCCTGAACCACACAGCCAGCGTCCTGGGGTTCCTTTGTGGACCCTGGTCCCAGAACCTGTCTTCTTGGCTTTGGGAGCAGCCCTTGCTTACCCAAGCCTTCCTAGAGTGTATGGATTCTTTTTTTTTTTTCTTAAGTTTCCTTTCAATTACTCATTTTCCATTTTGTGTTTCCCCATCCCCCTTGGAAACCCCTGTCCTCACAGTGAGCTGACAGCAGGGGAAGTGCCTCCCTCCTCCAGGTTCTGGTTGAGTGGTTCAGGCCTAGAGTTTAGCCCTAGAGGAGACTGTCCCGGCTTTGCATTTTTGAAGTTTCTCTTTTGTGCTCACTGCCTCCTGGGGCTCTGGTGGAGTTAGGGAGAAGTGGGGGGGGGGAAGACATTTTTTTCCCAAGAAATTTCACCCCAAAGCAGGGTGCCAGCCCCAACCGCATTTCTGTTTTCTCTGTATAAATGGGATTTTAATTCTTCTCCTTTTCTCCCTCCACTTTACTGGTCTTGGCAGAGCCTGTGAGAATACGGTGTGCAGGCTCTTGGTGGTCCTCTGTCAGCAATCCTCCGGCCCATCTGTGGAAGCTGAAATTGTGGGGCTTGGCGGGGAGTTAGGGGTTGAGGGCTTGGGAAGGCTCCATCTAGGGAGCTCTGAAGGGCATCCTTCTAACTGCTGCCCTGGCTGCTTTCAAAGGAGAGGGCCTTAGGGTTCTGCTTGTTAATTCAGACCTGGCCCCAAAACTGGAGGGAGGAGTTGAAATGCAGAAGGAACCTTTAGCATGGCTTCAAAACAGAAGCTTCTCAGACTTCTCTTGCTTTAAATCCAGAGGAATCCCCATTCACTGGGAGCCCCTGGGGATCTGAGCCTCTGGGGTCAGGGCTTTCCAGGCTCTGGGTTTTGTTCTTTCTCTTCAGAGCCTGTGGCCCAGGCCTCCTCCTCCCCCAGTGCTGCCCTGGTGAACTGTTTGCCTGGGACCGAAGCTTCCATGGCCCCAGGACTGTCTTTCTCCTTTCTGACCAGCTTGGGGAGGACCTGTGCTCTTGGTGCCTTGGGTTAGTTGATTTGGGAGAAAGGAGGATGTGTCTCAGCACCTCTCACCTCCATTGTCAGGGAGATGGTTGGGTCAGAACCCCTGGCTTAGGAATTGATGAAGGAAAGAAATGAGGCCAAGGCTGAGGGGCTTTGGGTAGGATATTGTGGGTGGGGGCGTCTGTACCATGCCAACTGCAAATAAAAAACTGCCTGGTGAATTTTTTCGGGCAGTGGGGTCTTCCTGGGCTCATCTTCACAGTTCACTAGCTCATCCCTCCTGGTTACCCAACTGAAGCGAGTATTACGATGGACTCCCCCAGCATTTCACTATGGGAAGACAACAAAGCTGTGCCCAGTTCCCTAGTTATTTTGGCACCAAATACATAGTTTCCAGGGAAACCGGCTTTTCCCCACTCCCCTTCACTATGCAGGATATTACAATAAGATTTTCCCTGATGTTCAGCTACAATGAGAGCCCTCCTCCCTGGTCTCTATGGGGCTTCAGATCCTCCCAGGTAGCATGCTTCAGTTTTGCTGTCCTTCTGTCTCAACTCTGCCTGGGACATGTTTGTCTGTCCCTATTTCTCAACAGTAGCTAGTGAGTTTTCAGCACAGAGTTCTTGGTAAGTCTCCTCTGCTGGCCTCGGGCTGTTCATTGACAAGTTGGGACCCGTGGGGCATGCCGAGAATGAGTAGGCAGAAGAGCTGATGGAGGAAGCAGTTTGGCTTTGCCTTATCTATCCTATTTCTCTACAGGTTTTTGTTTGTTTGTTTTAATTTATTTTTATTTTGGTTTTATCTTCTAGCTGGTACCTATATCCAGTGTATATGCCTTGTTCTTTATCCCCCCCCCCCCCCACTGATGGGTTGTGGTTCATTTGCTCTTCAATAACTTAACCAAATAATTGTTTTTAATTCAAATATCCAAACAGATTTTAACTATGAGTACGTACAGAGAGAAGCTCTCAGGGTTCCCCTGGTTTTTCGAGACAAGGATGGACTAGGAATCAAGTAAGTTGCTAAATTAACCCCTTCTTCCCTGATCTTCCTCTTCCCTGTCAGAATTTCTAGCCTGAGATGTGTTGTCTCCTGTCTTCTTCTCACGCTTCAGTACTTCCAGAAGGACTTTTTCCTAAGACCTGAGAACAGCTTCTCCTTGTTCAAGACCTGCTTGAGGAGAAAAACTGTCGAAAAGTGGTCTTTCTCAGGAGCTGGGGAGAGAGGTCCTAGGGCGTTTAAACAGTGACAGACCTCCCCCCATTCCTGTCTGGTCTAGCCTGGTCATTTCAGCAGTGTTCGCTCTCTCAGCCCTTTCTGATCTATCCTGATCCCACATAGCAACTTCC